GCAACCGCCTTCAAGACCTTTTGTCAAACACATTATAGGCACACTAGTTTCGTGACTTATAAAGAAACAAGATCCGACCCATTATGATTCATAATGATTCAAATTCTTCTTTCAATTTAACTAGTTCTTCTTTTTTTTTTTTTAATTATATAATGGTTGTAATTGTTGATCGTTAGCACCTAAAAATTTTTCAAAAAATATACAAAAAATACAAAAGGAAAAAAAAGGACTTAAAAAAAATAGAGGGATGCAATTAAAAAATGGAGGAGAAAATGACCAAAATAAAATGAGTTTATGAGATGAGGGATCAAACCAAACTTAGCCCAAAAAACCCTAAAAACCTAGTATAAAAACCCACTTTTCTCTAAAAATTCCGACCACTTTCTCCCTCTACAAAACTAGCCGATCGCCTCCCCTCGCTCCGAAAAATTGTGACCGACCATACCGCCACCTTCGACCGGGCACCTTTAACTAGCCAAGCCACCTTGCCGGACGCCTCGCTAGCCAGCACCTTGCCCGTGGGCCTCCGCCAACCAGCCTCGTATGCCGATGCCATAGCCAAGCCCCGCCTACATGCCAACGGCTTAGCTAGGCGACCCCGCACGCCTTTTCGTGCATGCTTGCTCGCGTCCCATCCCGTACGCCCTCACGCACCCGGTGCCCACTAACCTTGTGACATCGACAATCCTAACGAAGATGTACTAGTTTATAAAATGTGGTTTGGTTCTTCTTGATAAAACTTTCGAACTTTGTGCTCGTACTTTATGAGGCCGAATTTCTTATTCAAATCATGACTAAAATAAAAGAAACGAGAGAGGTTTGAGAGAAAATGAATTTTGTTGTTTGATGAGCAAGAATTGACATTAATTAAATGACACTTTTAGATAAACGGATAACTCGAAGTTGATTATGTAAACAATACATGTTCTCTTTCTTGCTTTAGCTTTCTTTCGGGATGCTAATCAACAACATTTTGGTTTGGATTTATTTAAATTGATTAGATGGATAAAGTTTACATCCTAAATAGTATATTATTTCGATTAACTTTCTAGTGACGTAACCTTCTACAATGTAGTCGAGTTTAGGAAACTATTGAAATATTGGAATCCTATAATATAGTCACATGCTTTTGGTTTTGGATTTGATTTCTTCCAACTCAATATGTTGTTTCAAGTACCCTTTTTTGTTATGTTTTATAGTAAACTTCTTTTCTATTATTTGTACAAGTGGCTCCTTATGAACGTCCCGCACTCGAGTGAAGCATATCTTTTTCCGAGGGTAATCTTGTTAATACCACACACTTACTTTTTAGAATGTAGGGTTATCTTGTGTACTTGTCTTTGGCAAGTTTTCATTGATATTAAACTTGGTGTCTTTTCCATTTTTATACAAGACATCTTTATTCACCATGAAAACTTGTTCTTGCGAGAATTGCAAGACTTCCGGGATTCCTTGTCCGCGTTTAAAGTGGAGAGGAGAGACTACTTCCCGAGTGGTACAATGAGAAAGCCGAGTGCTACTTTAATCACCTTCTATAATCCATTATTTACCTCATATAATGTATGAGAAATTATTTAGAACAAGAGAAAAGGTTGAAATTAAGAGCATCATGTTTTGCTATTGCTGGCAACGCGAGGAGAATGGATGAGATCACACTATCTCATGGATCTAATGCTCGCGGGAATAGAGTTGATCGTTAGCATAGAAATAGTGAAAGTAGATCTTGCTACCAAGACCCTCGTTGGTGTAGCTGGATAAATATTCAAATATCGGATTTTGATTATTGCAACTCGGTTCCACGATAAATTTATAGCTTTGTTTCAAAAAATTTCTTGATCAAGCATCCTTGATCTTTTGGCCTTCTTTCCATGAACATTGATTAACTTTGTTACTTTCATACAAGTCATAAAGTTGTCGGCTTTTGGGTTCATGGAGCTAATGCCAAAAACATTTTCTATGTTATGACAAACAACGAAAACAAGACAAGTAATGACGAGTAATAATCAAAAGATAAAGCTAAATAAATTATTAACACACAAGATTTATGTGATTTGATAAATTGCCTACTCCACGGGCAAAAGAAAAGTTTTTTAGCTTAATAATAGGAGAATTCAAGAACCCCGAAAGCTCAATAAAAGTTTTTTATCTTTCACTCTATATCCTAAACAGAGACATAAGGACATTTAAATACTTCATACATATAAAGAAAAAAACCTAATGGGCTGAATATATTATTGGCCCATAAAATTCAAGCCACACATAACAAATCTCCACCTTGGTTTGAATTTCGCAAACCTTCGAGAATGTCAAATAATTCCTCAAAACACGGCTCTAAGCTTACGTGAGCTAACTCGGTGTAAGAAACAAGAGATATGAAGAGAGAAAATATTGACTTTAATATTAGGACTAACAAATTTTTTCTCTCCAACAAAACCCCAATATGCATAGACAAATGCTTAAGCACACGAGTACAAGACAAGTGCTTCACACGAGCGAAGCATAAAGCACAGGGGAAAGAAGAAAACTCATAAGATCGTGTCTCTCTCCTTCACATGGCCGTACCTCTCTATAGGTAGAATGCTCCCGAATACCCATTTTCTCGGCTCTAGTAAGGGCATAGGCTACTAGATCGGTATAAACATTTCTTTAGGAAGGTCTTATCCGTCTCCTCTCTCAATAATAGTAAGGCTATTCAGCTTCTTTGGTATCTTCATTCATATTTGAATCTTACTCGCACATCCGCAACTATAGTGGGTACATTCGAGGATGGTTGTTGAGGAGTCTTTTTTTTAATTCCACTTGAAGCTCCATCTTATCTATGACTTTCTTACTCTTTCTTGTAGACTCACAAACAACCTTTCATTGATCAAGCATATAATTCTTATTAAAAGTAACATTTTTACTAATAATAAATTTAGATGAATTGGGTTCAAGGCACCGTAGATGATAACTTTTCATCCCATCAGCATAGCTAACAATTATGCATTTTTTGCTCTAGGTTCAAGTTTACCATATTTAACATAATAGTAAGCGGTGGCATCCAAATACTTTTAAATTTTAATAATTATTAGGTTTACCCGACCATATCTTGCTTGGAGTCTTACAATCAATGGCGGTAGAGGAGAACGATTGACAAGATAACAAGCCGTGTTAATTACTTCGACTGGAAATCCTTCTCCAAACTCGAATTAGAGAGCATAAATCTAGCTCTCTCCATCAAAGTCCTGTTCATACACTCGCCACCCTGTTTTGCCGAGGAGTGTGTCTAATTGTGTGATGTTAGACAATTCTAGAGTTTGTACAAAACTCATTAAAATTTTCACTACAAAATTCCAAGCCATTATTTGTTCGAAGATGTTTAACCTTCTTTCCTGTTTGATTCTCTACTAGAACTTTTCATTATTTGAAGGTTTCAAAAACATTACTCTTATGTTTAAGAAAATAGACCCAAACCTTCCGAGGGTAATAATCAATCAATATCAAAAAATAAAGTGCACCACCTTTGGATGGAAACCGAAATTGGTCCCGATAAATTTAAATGAATGTAATCAAGTGTGCCCTTTTATAGAATGAGTGTCAATAGAAAACCGCACTCTAGTTTACTTTCTCAAGACACAATGCTTGTAGAAATCAAGTGATGTCGCTTGATCACCACAAAGCAAACCATATTTACTTAGAGTAGTCATACCTCTCTCACTCATATAGCCTAGATACATATGCCACAATCGAGTTCTTTCCTTTTCAAAGTAGGATGCAAAGCTCGTTATCGTACTACCTTGTAACACATAGAGATGATTAATTTAAGTCGCTTTCATCACAACCAAGGAACTCTTAGAAACTTTAAGAATTCCACTTTTACCAAAGTAGCTATAATCTCTCAAATATAAATAGATTAAAGAAATTAGATTCTTATTTAAATCGATATATGTCTCACTTCCTTTAAAGTTCTCACAACCAAATCATAACACTCGATATGAATTTTACCAATACCAGTCATCTCACAAGCTGAATTATTGCCCATCAAACTAGAGCCACCACTCACAAGTTCATAAGTGGTAAACCATTCTTTATTTAGACACATATGATGAGAAGCACCAAGTATCCAAGATCCATTCTTGATCAAAACAATCATCTAGAGGACATACGACAAGAACACTTTCAGCGGTATCAATATCGTAGACTTCGCCACATTAGCGGACTCAAAACTTTGACCTTGTGGTTTCTCCTTCTTCTTTAGAGTAGGACAATTTGATTTATAATGTCCTTTCTTGTGATGATAGTATCACTCAATATTTTTTTTCTTATCCGAAAGTGTTCTAGACTTAGAATAAAATTTGAGCCTTCCCTTATAACCCTTTTTATTCTTCTCGTTTTTCCCTTACTAGCAAACCATCAACTCGATCATCAATGACTTTATCATTCGAGCTTATGTCTCAATTCAACGGAATTTAAAGAGGCTTTAACATCCCGTAAAATTATGAACTCTCTACCATACAACATTGATACAAAATTATGATACGAAGCAAATAATGAGCATAACACTATAAGAGCTTAATCTTTTTTATTAAGTTTAATATCAAGATTTTTCATATCCATAACAATCTTATTGAATTCATCAAGGTGTTCATGAATAGACGTACCTTCTCACATCTTTAGTTTATAAAGATGTCTGCTTCAAATACAATATTGTTGTAGGAGATTTCTTCATGTAGAAGCTTTCTAACTCCTTCCATAGTTCTCGCTATTGTTTTTTCATCCGCGACTTCTTGCAGTACCTTGTCTAACAATGATAATTATAAAGCACTATGAGCCTTCTCATCCATCTCTTCAATTTCGGTAGAAGTCATATCATTTGGGTATATACCCTCAATTGCTTTGACAAAACCTTCACACCCTAACAAAGGTTTCATCTTTATTCTTCATAGGCCAAAATTATTTTGACCATCAAAAGACGAAACATAAAATTTCGGAGCTACCATTACAAATAGAAAAACCCAAAGATGTGCAACCTACGCTCTAGTCTCAGTTTGTTATGATAAACAGCGAGAAAAAGATAAGTAATGACAGATAATAATTAAAAGATAAAGTTAAATAAATTTTCAATACATAGGATTTACGTGCTTGGGCAAATTACCTACTCCACGGGTAAGAGGAAAGTTTTATTAACTTGATAATAGGAGAATACAAGAATTCTAAAGGTTTAATGCAAAGTCTCTATCTTTCACTTTATATCCTAAACAAAGACATAAGAGGTTTAATTATCGAAAAAAACCTAATGGTCCAAATATATTATTGGTCCATAAAATTCAAGCCACACATAACATTCTACTTGAGAGAAATTGATGACACTAAAAAACTTGTAGAAGTAATTAAAGGAAAGAAGAATGGAAAGACCGTAATTGCTGAAGGTGGATACATTGGTCTTAAACTTAGTGCAACATTAAGAATCAACGATCTTGATGTTACAATGCTTTATCCTAAGCCACCGTGCGGTAAGTGGATTACCTTATTTAATTTCTATTAAAACACTTAAAACAAATGAAAATCCATATCACTCGGTTGGATATCTTATAATAGTTTCTATAAAGTCCTAACATAGACAATGTTCTTGTAGTGCTAATTCTTTTCTCTGCTGATATAGCTACTTTCTATGAGGGTTATTATGCTAACAAGGGAGTCAAGATCATTAAGGGAATAGTTACTCTTGGGTTCAATACCGATTCAAATAGAGAGGTGAGGATTTGATCTGTCATGTCCGGGAAGACTGGAGATTACATATTGATGGGAATGAAAATATTGTTACTTGAACTTTGTTTTTTGGCTTCTTTTTAGGTAAAGGAGTGAAACTAAAGGATGGTGGAGTGTTAGAAGTTGACATTTTTATTGTTGGTGTTGGTGGAAGGCCACTTATAACACTATTTAAAGGGCGAGTTGAAGAGGAGAAAGGTGGAATAAAGGTTAGCAATAACTTTTGGCATCCTACCAATGTCACTATCATATTATGTTAGGATTGTCGGTGAAATGTTATGATGTGTTAAGTATAACAACATGATATTACCATCAATGCCACGATCATAGTATGTTAGGATTGGCGGTGAAATATTTTGATATATTAAGTGCAATAAGAGAAAATTATCTCGGATTGCCTTTGAATATCGATCTTATTGGGTGGCAATGTATGTACGAGTGTGGATATCCGCATGTGTTTATCCTCCAGGTAGTGGTTAAAGCCTAGAATGTTTCCTTAACATAATCCACAACTTGCTTAGTTGCAAACTAAAGCATTTTTATTATATAGTGGTTGTAATTGTTGACAATCCTAATAAGGAATGATAGTTACAATTGAATTTAAGAAGTAAACAATTAAAAAATTGATGAAGGATAAATTCAAGCATCTAGTGTGTATGTTTTTACGAAATTAAAATCGAGTTCAATGTTGATGTAAGAAACTAGCAACTTGAGAGAATGAAAGAGAGTTCTCTTATGGTGTTGTTCTGCTGAATAATAATCAATTGAAATGGTGATAGAGCTAGTTTGAGATCGATCATGTTACCTTAGTATCTTCTACTTCACCTTCTCTTTTAACCCTTTATTCTTTCTTCTCCTATCATGGCCATCATGTTTGGAAGAGTTAGAGCCGCAATTGATTATAGATCAATTAGGTTTTCTCATAAGACAAATGTCATAGCTTTCTTATGACAAAATAAAAGGTTGGCATATATTGAAGAAAACAATTATGATCATGTCCATTTTATGTGGCATTAGTACTCTATTTTGATAAATAAGATTGAAACTACCCTATTTTGGTAATAAAGTTTCAAAACTACCTCGGTAAGGAAAAAAAAACTCTATTTTTTTACACTTAAAATATTTTGAGGTTTTTTTTTTCAAATAGAGCTTTTTCATATCTTTATTCTCAAATTAAGGTAGTTTTAAACTTTTTTTGCAATATGGATATTTAGTGCCATGTAGACACACACGTTAGCATTATTTTATTTTTTATTGTTAATTTTATTATTATAAAAACAAAGAAAAAAAACTTAGTTTTTCTTTTTCGTTTTCTTTTTCTTTCTTACCCATCACAGTAGACTTTTTATCTTTAGTTCTATGGAAGTTCCTCTCTTCTTATTTTTTTCTTTTTTTTCTTTTTTGTTCACAACAATGGCTACCAATTTAATTATTTTACATAATCATGTTATTGCTTTGCATTTGAATTTGAAACTAAAATCTGAATTTGTATGAATATTTTCAATTTTATTAATTTTTTAGTTCATAACTCTAGCATCCTCGTTTTCTAATTAATTTTTTTTATTTTTTATTTTTTTTATCACAAAGACTAACATGACTTTGATTAATTGAATCACCTCTTGTTGTTAATCATTATTTGATTTTTGAGTATTCTGCAGCTATATACATATGTTATCTTTTATCAAATATAGTTCCGTTTAAAAAAAATTAAATTTGATTGGTATCGAGTAGAGAAAGGAAGAATATGCTTATAACATATTTTTGGATAATTAAAATAGTTATGAAATATGTAAATTGATAGTTTGCTATGAAAAATTATTGAAGATTAAGATTGACTTGAAATGGGTATTTGATTTTTTTTTCATTAAATTTACAAGATATTTTGGTGGATGAACATATGCTTAATGGGTTATTTTAGTTTAATTTACACTTCGTTTGGTTTATGACACCATGATCTACAATTTTAAGGTGAAAAAGACTTGAAAATTCATGATTTCGTTTGGATTTATTTTCATCCATCCATTACTCATTTTCCATTGGGTTAAGCCATTACTTATTGCTAGATGTTGAAGATAATTGTGAAATTATAATTTGATCTTTATAATAGTCAAACATTTCAATTTAGTTAGTAGGGACAAAAGATGACATGGATATTACCTATGTGGCAAAAACCATATCCTTTTAATAAATAAGATATGAAATACTTTGTTTCGAGAAAATAAATTAAAAAAATATCATATTTAAGGAAAAAACTCAATATATTTTTATCCACCTAAGCACAAAATTAATATATCATAAAATATAAGCTAATGCCACATAAGTAAATATTTTAAAAAAAATTAAGATAGGAGGAATGGCGTCTGGAATAATATGCCTCTTACATTCTATTATACTAGAATTAATACACCCTTTTATATACACATACAATGATGGATTACATGATTGAATATGAGTAGGAAACTTTAGAGTTTATCTACATGAGTTGCAGTGTTTGTTCCTTCCACGGGTTCCGAAACAGAGTTTACCACGGGACTTAGAGAAAGAGTGTCTCCCCAGTGGGACTCTGTCTTAGTACCACGAATTGCTTATTTCTTCCACGGGTTGCACAAATTATGTCTTCCACGGGTCTTGGAGCATGAAGATCACTCATAGTAGAATTCCGTCTTAATACTTCCCTACAAACTAACTATGGATGGCATCCAACAATAAGTTTATCCCACAAGAATTCAAACCTTGTAGTAGATAGAGGCTTGGTTAAGATATCTACGATCCGATCCCGTGTAAAAATGAAGTTTACCCGCAAGCTCCCCTCGCGACCATGTCTCCGATGAAGTGGAAGTTAATTTCCACATGTTTGGTACGTGCATGAAAGACTAGGTTTACGGCTAAATATGTGGCTCCAATGTTATCACACCATATTATAGGCTTTTATACCGATGTAGCTCCAAGCTCACCCAATAAGGACATAACCCATGTTAGTTCGACTACGAGATCGCCGACCGCTTTATACTCGACCTTAGTAGAACTTCGTGCCATTGTCTTTTGCTTGGATGACTTCCAAGTAATCGAGTTTGGCCCAAGTAAACCGTATATCCACTCGTGGATTTTCTCGTCCTTTAAAGAACCAGCCCAATCGAATCGGAGAACCCCGTGAGGAGTTGAGAGGTCGATTTCCTAATGTGTAAGCCATAGGTAGAGGTGTGCTTCGGATAACGTAAAGTTTGTTTGAAAATGGTCCGAATGTGGATTATGCATGAATTGGCACACTTTGTTCACGGAATATGCAATATCCGGTCTAGTTAGTGTAGCGTATTGGAGGGCACCCACAACTCGTCAATATAGGGTTTGATATGAAAACAATTCGGTATCCCCGACTTTAAGCTTGGATGTGGTTGGCATGGGTGTGGTGATAGGTCGATAATCTAGCATGCCTTGTTTGGTAAGGATGTCAAGTATGTACTTCGTTGAGAAAGAAGAATACTTGTGGAAGTTTTGATGACCTCTATGCCCGTAAAGTAATTAATGTCACCAAGATCTCGTGTTGCAAATCCGGAGTTCATGGCATGGATTACTTGTTTGGAGAAAAGTCAAATTGTCATAAGTGATAATAATATCATCTACATATACTAGTAAAAAGACTTTACAACCTCGAGCCTTGTAAAAAAACAAAGAAGGGTCCGTTTTGGATCCTTCAAAGCCGAATGATAGTAGGAATTCCTGGAGGTATAAAACCGGGCTCGTGGAGACTATTTGAGCCCATAAAGCGACTTGTGAAGTTTACAAACATGATTAGGATATTAGGCATCAATAAAGCCCACTAGTTGAGCCATGTAGACTACTTCATGTAATGTGCCATTTAGAAATGCATTATGCATATCTAGTTGCTTAGCGAGGCCATTCATAGGAGACTGCTAGGGAGAGAATAACTCGATAGTGGTGGGCTTGACTACCGGGCTAAATGTCTCTCCAAAATCGATTCCTTCTGTTGGTGATAGCCTTTGGCAACTAACCTTGCCTCGTACCTTTCAATGCTACCATATGCATACTTTTTTGTTTTCAAGACCCACTTGTTCCCGATAATGTTCATCGAAGGATTTACGGGGACGAGGGACCAAGTTTTTGTTTTTAAAAAGGCATTGAACTCTGCTTCCATAGCTTTACGCCATTCAAGCATACTCGTTTGGCTTTAGTGTAGCAAGATAGGTTTTCAAGGGTAGTCGAGTGAGATACTACAAATGTTGCTTTGGGGCCCATATGCCTTAATACCATAGGGTGTGTCCATATGGGTTTCGGATTGGAAGGACAACTTTCACTCGTATACTCGGTTAGTCAAGTTATATTTGCTAAAATCTAACAATAAATTCAAACTCGGTGTAGAGGAACGGCTTGGGCTTGATGGTTGGTGTAGTGGGTCGTTGGTTTTGTGGACTATGAATGGTGAGCATGTGTTTGGGCTATCATGGTGTTGCTATCTCGTGAAAGTGTGTGGGTTTGGGCTTTTCAGTGGAGGGTCTCGGGTGGAGTGGGGTGATGCCGATCTACATTGAAATCATTGTGAGGGGATAAAGTGGGCTGAATGGGGACACTTATCTAAGGGGTGGAAGTAGTTTGCTGAGTGGAGATTTTAGGAGATGCATGTTGTGTAAATGGAAAAATTGTTTCAATAAAGCGAACATGGCGAGCTATGTAAAAACGATTTTTTTATTTTGTCAAAACAGATGATAGCCCAAGTGTGATGGGTCGTAGCCCAAAAATATGCAAGAGGTAGATTGAAAATCAATTTTGTGATGGTCATAAGGCCTTAGATATGGAAAACAAAGGCAACTAAAAATTCTCAAAAAAGAATAATCGGGGCTTTTATGAAAACCAAGTTCAAAGGGTGATTTATACTCGAGTGATGGGATAGGGCATTCTATTAATTAAAAACACAGCGGTTTCAAATGCGAAAGACCAATATTGTTTAGGAACGTGGGCTTCGGCTAAGAGAGTGAGGCCCGTTTCCACAATGTGGCGATGTCATCTCTCTACGAGTGCCATTTTGCTCGTGTGTGTGAGGACACATGATATGGTTAGCAATGCCAATGTTTTGAAAGAATTTATTTAGTCCTCGAAATTTCCCGCCCTAATCAGTTTGGACTTGTTAAATTTGACACCTAAATTGACGTTCAACCATTTTTTGAAATTGCATAAAGACATCATAAACCTCTAATTTTTTTTTACAAAACATAAAACCATATATATTTGGAGAAGTGATCAACAAAAATAATGTAGTATTTAAATCCATCAACAGAGGTAATAGGGGAAGGACCTCAAACATCACCGAAAATTAAGTCCAAAATACCAGTACCTAAAGTGTTTGATAAGGGTAGTGATAAGCGACTTGCTTTCCGTAATGGATAAGACAAGCATTGACTAGACATATTTAAAGAGTGCAATAAAGAATGCTTGTTTTAAAAGAAAATTTAGTACTCGTGGTGGGGATGACCCATTCCGGAGTGCTAAATATTTGCAGAGACTCTTGCTTGAAAAGGCTTTAAGACTCGAAACTCGGAAGATGGAGGCTTTAGGGAGTATAGGTCGACATCACTCCTTCCTAAAAAAGTTTGGTCTTATGTACCTAGTCCTCGACACAAAACATAGAAGGGTGAAATTTCCAAAATAAGTTATTATCCTTAGAAAAATGTTTAACGTAAAGTAAGGGCTTGGTTATTTGTAGGACGTGTAACACATCAAGTAATGTTAGATTTTTAACAAGTGTTTTAATATGACTTGATCCAATATGCAAAATAGGTAAAAACTCACCATTGCCAACCCGAAGTTGTTCATTACTTGTGTATGGCTCATATGTGTTGAAACTAGCCAAATCCGGAGTCACATGGTGTGATGCATCGGTGTCAAGGCACCAATCATGGGAGCGTTGGCCATAGGCCGTTGTCGTCCCGTGTAGCGTTGTGGGCGGTGAACGGCGGTGTGATTCCAAAAGGAGTAGAGTTGGCATCTTATGCGAGAGTCTTGCGAGTTCTAGTAGCCCTTATTTTCGGATTGGAAAGAGCTACCAATTCTAAAAGAGGAACGACCACATCCTCGGCCTCTATGCTATCTCGCCACGACCACGGTTGTAGCCTCCATATTGATCGCCATGGTGAGCAAAATTTTTTGTTATTAAGTTGGCAATGGGTGGAGTAGGCAATAGAGTCGTCTTTGGTGATAAAGGAATGTTTGAATATTCAATTAGAAAGTCATGACCGACTAGGAAGTTATGGAGGTCGGTGAATGGTACCGGTTCGAGTACGGGTTGAGAGGTTGGTGACGATATCTTTGAAGTCATTGGAGAGGCCCTCGAAGATGTTGAGATTGAAGTCAATTGGGGAGAGAGGGCGACCGGCTACTATTAGCTCATCACTAAGAGCTTTGGCGCGATGAAGAAATTGAGATACTAGCTCACGAGACTCTTGCTTTATTCTTTGTAAAGCAAGATGAAGTGACATTATACGGGTGCTCGAGGGCGAAGCCAAGCCACTATCGAGTGCACGCCATACTTCTTGTGAGGTGGTGCAATCAATGACCATGGGAAGCACTTCGTGGAGAGAGAGGAGATGATTGTGCTCATTAAGAGCTGGTCCTACTCGGATCCATGCTTTATGAGTTGGATTGATTTGAGGAAGGCTCGTATCGGTAGCAATAACATGGCTTGGAGGGCAAGGGAAGGTACCATCCACAAACCGGAAGAGGTCTTGCCAAGAAGGAATGGTTTAAGCTAAATTTTCCACAAGTAAGTAGTCCGTTTGGGTTAATTTGAGAGAGATGAAGTTGTGGGAATTGCTTAGTTGGGTAATGGGGCTAGCAAGTTGATGAGTAATTGGAGTTGTTTCAGCAATGGTGGTGGGAAATGTTGTGTTCGTTGGAGAGAGCTATTGTTTTTCGAAGAGGAAGGGAAACGGAGGGTGTCGGGTAAAGAAAGAAAGTGGTCCGTTGTGGGAGGTATATTTGGGCAACAGTGGCGTGTTTTAGTGCTTGGAAAGGGAGATATATATATATTTGTCGTTAAGCTAAATAGCTCCGATACCAAATCAAGACGGGAGGAATGGCGCTGGAATAATATGCCTCTTACATTCTATTATACTAGAATCAATACACCTTTTTATATACACATACAGTTATGGGTTACATGATTGAATATGGTTAGGAAACTTTAGAGTTTATCTACACGGGTTGTAGTGTTTGTTCCTTCCACAAGTTCTGCAACGAGTTTATCACGGGACTTGGAGAAAGAGTGTCTCTCCTAGTGGGACTCGTCTTAGTACCACGGATTGCTTATTTCTTCCACGAGGTTGCACAAATTATATCTTCCATGGGTCTTGGAGCATGAAGATCACTCCTAGTAGAATTCTGTCTTAATAAAAAACAAAACAAGATTATCGAATAACAATAACAATGTTTTAAAAAATATCAACCCTAAAAAAAAAGAGTCAATCGGCTTCTTTTCTCTTTGTTTAGTTGCTGAGAATCTCGTTATTGATGAAATTGTTTGACAAATCAAGATTATTTAGAGACCAGTCAAGTCTATATTCACCAGTAAGATTCGTAGAAGGAGCGAAATCTCTAAATTTGATAAATTGTCAACATCGATAGACAAGGAGCTTTGGCTTGGACTCGTTATTACCAGCTAAGAAATGATCAAACATGTCAACTCGCTTAGGTTAGTTAAGAAGTCAGACTTGAGTCATCAATCATCAAGGATATTTTCACTTGAATTCATGTAGTTTTTCATGGATAGAAATTGACCAAAATCAATTAAAAATAATGTCACCTTAGAAATTATTGCCAAAAAGATCAAGAATAAGATTCTTGAAGTTTGATGAGAAGTCGGGCAAATCGCGAAAGAAGATTGGTATAAAAAACTTTCAAAAAAATCGCATGGAAAGATGCTATTGATTTGTATCCTTCGGAATTGTTATAGGACACTATTGAATTAATAGCATGCCAAAAAAGAAAGTGGGTAATTAGGAGATTGTAATTGTGAGTTAATTGTGCAAACTAAATAAGATTTGTGCTTAATCCAATCGAAATACATCATTGATTAGCATCTGTTTCAAAGAAATTCTTGATAATAGATTTATTTTTGGCAGAGATTAAGGTTTAGAAAGAGTAATATGAAATGTTTCAATGTTATAAATTATAATACCTTTTTAGTTACCAGAAAAAGAAAAGTGTATTTTCTATTTCCATATTAGATTTACTTATTGCTATTATGATGCAAAAGTGCCTTATTTTGATAAATAAATTTAAAACTATCGTGTTTAGAAAAATAATTATGTTTTTTAGAGTATTTTAATTTGGGAAAAAAACTCAAGATTTGAGTCGCACTACTTAAGTGTATTTGATTATATATTTTGTATGGGAATGACAATCCCTATTTTGTAGTCTAAGATAGGATAAACCGAAAAAAAAAAAATTGATGAGGACATATTAGGAGTAAATTATAGATTAGTCCCTTTCGCTTCGAGAAATAAATTAATTAGTTTTTTTTGTTTTAAAAACTAATCATTTAGTCATTTTTGATATTTTTTAAAAATTTATTTTGATTTTTTTTTTAAGAAAAAGAAAAAGAACAAAAAATAAGTAAAAATATCGAAAGATTGATGAAAAAAAATATATTTTATAAAATAAAAAAAATTAAATTAGTCATAATCAATATCGGTTAAAAAAACTAAATAATTAGTTTTTGAAACGAGAGAGACTAATTAATTCATTTTTCAAAACGAGATGGACTAATTTATAATTTACTCGAGATATTAGCTATCAAAGGAAAAAAAAAAAACAGCTCTCTCTTTTGACCTTAAAAAAAAAGAAGAAAAGCCATCTATTTTGGGTGAAGTTTTAATATATAAAAAAAGGTGAAGTTTTATGCAGCAAAATATAAAAAGCACCAATAAATACCTTACTCAGTTAAAAAAAAAAAAAAAGATTTAGAAGTGACTCAGTTTGGAAATAAAAAACTCAATTTTATATCGTCAAAGTCAAAGAGTAACAATGAGAACCCAAACAATTCAAGACCAAAAAAAAAAAAAAAAAAAAATCATAAAATTCACATACATAGCTATATAAATTCATGCTTACCTTTATGATAGCACGTTCATAGCCATAAAACAATCTGAATCCTAATATATTACAGACGTTGAGTTTGCTAGTTGACATTTTTGACATAGTAACCGTCTTAAATTCAGGAAAAAAGAATGAATCAAGTGAATATAGAAACTAGAATATTATAAGTTTGGTAAAAAGGATGTAAATATTTAAGACAAATCTTTTTATTTCTATACTTATTCCAGCTCTTACCAATATCAGTGGCAATGCTAATCCTATTTATTCCTCCCTCCATGCAATATTCCAAATCACTTCATAAATTGAGGCATCCTTCACCTCTTCTTTTCTCAATATCGTATCGTGAATCATAGAAGTATATAATTTTTTTTTCTTTTTTTGATATCATGAAGGGCCTTGTTACCACTTTGTTTTTCTTTTGGATGGTTTCCTATTGCTCTTGTCGTATAATATTTGATGCTGCAGGAAGCAGGTTTAATGTGCTTAACTATGGTGCTGATGGCAGTGGCATAGTTGATGCTACACAGGTACATGCCCTACTTTTTTTTTTTTTTTTTTGTTATTGATATTGATCTGATTTTGTTTGGCTTGTTCACTTATATGTGTTGAAAATGAACTTGAAAAGGCTTTCCAAAAAGCATGGAGAGATTTCTGTCAAGCTAGGGAAGAAATGCCAACCCTTGAAGTGCCAGCAGGCAATACATTCTTGTTGAAATCTGTCACATTCTTTGGCCCTTGCATGTCCAAGACCCCTCACCTGCTGGTATACATTTTCATCAAATATCTCTTTGTTTTCTTTAATCATTTACAAGGGGGGTCACTTTGAAAATCTAACATTGTTTTTCTGATTTCAGATTGAAGGTACTATTATTGCACCAAACAGCTTTAATTCATGGGATGATGATGATTTCGATACATGGATTGGATTCAAATCCGTTGATGGTCTCATTGTTGATGGAGGAGGAAGATTTGATGGACGAGGAGAACCTTGGTGGAAAGCTTGCTATGTATGTATAGCTATTCAATGGAGTTTAATTATTTCCTTCCAAGTTTTGTTTTTTTGGATGTTACTCATTTTAATATGAACGTTAACAAATGCAATTCTCTTCCAGGTTAATGATAATGCCTGCTCGAAACGTCACCGGGTAAGTTCGATCGATCGATCGAGGAGTCTTGAAGCTTTTTATAATTTTCTGATTGTGTAACTGATGAATGCTGTGTTTGCAGGCTCTTCATTTCAACAAATGTAATGGTCTCCAACTAAGTAACTTGAAACATGTCAACAGCCAAAAGAGTCACATAAGCATCAATGGATGTGATGATGTCAACATCTCTAATCTTCAAATAATAGCCCCAGATAACAGCCCAAATACTGATGGAATTGATATTTCTGAATCACACCGTGTCAATGTCCAAAATTCTTTTATAGGAACAGGTGATTGAACATTTAAGATTTTCTATTTTCTAATTTTCTTGGCAGAACCTCATTGATTAATTTATTTGCTTATGCACATTTTCTTCTGTTGAATTAGGTGATGACTGTATTGCCATCAATGGCTTTTGCTCTCAGATCAATGTTACTGGTGTCAACTGTGGACCAGGCCATGGTATAAGGTTTGTGAGCTAACTTGAACACATTACTCCATTTGTTTGACTCAGCTGTGTTTAATTTCTTTTAAACATTACACAGTTTTTGATTTTTTGATTCTTTGTGCAGTATTGGGAGTCTAGGAAAGGATGGAGCTTATGAAACAGTCGAAGAGGTCCACGTTAAAAACTGTAAATTAGTTGGAACTCAGAATGGTGTAAGAATCAAGACGTGGGAGGTAATCATGGAAAGAGAACAGAATTTTTGATTTACTGGTTATTTCACTTTGTTTGATCAAATCCTAAGCAAAAACTGCGCTTTCTTTGTTCTATAGGGTGGATCAGGATATGTTAGGAAGATCACTTTTGAGGATATTACACTTGTAAACTCCAGAAACCCTATCATCATTGACCAACAGTACGATCCTAATGGTATCACTTTCGAGGATGTCGCACTTGTAAATTCCGAAAACCCTATCATTATTGACCAACAGTACAATCCTAGTGGAAATGGGGGTGATTCGGCTGTAAAAATCAGTGACGTTACATACCGTAATGTGCATGGATCTTCAGCTGACGAGGTAGCAATCAAATTGAATTGTGCCAACAAACGGGCTTGCACCAACATTGTAATGGATAACGTTAACATCATCTCATCCAATCCCGGAGAACAAACATCTGGCACTTGCAATAATGCCCAAGCAATTGGCCACTTTGTTTTTCCATCTGTGCCTTGCCTATCAAGTGGAGTATAACGTTTTCAGTGCAGCCTGCTGTTGTAATCTGGAACTATAATATTGTTTCACTTAGTTTCCTCAGCTCTCAAGATAACTATAGAATAATGATGCAATTGTTAGTGTAGGAGTTGGTTAAGTGATTTCCAGTAATATTGTTATGGTTTCCTGGAAAATTTTTTTTGTTTGCCTTAAATTTCTTTCCATCTTAGTTGTCATGAACTTGCATTGATACTTTGAATGCCAGGATATTTTTAAGTTCTATGTGCATTCTAAGGCAAGAGGTAAAATGAATAAATTGCATGAATATGGATATAGCAAAAAAAACATAAATTCAAAACAACATCTTAAACTTCATATTTTCTAAGGAACTTACTTGATTTGTTTGCCAATGTAAAACAGTAAAAGTCGTAATAAATTGCAAATAAGAACAGAAGATCTTGGGTATAAAAGGCAAATAGAAAGCAAAGGCTTGCTACCATTTTTGACTCCTGCTACTGAGAAACTGCTGCTTCATCCTAGCAACGTTTTTAGAGGGGAAAACTCTAGCATTACTCGAAATTGTTGTTGTGCGAAAGCGAAAAAAAAAATTGTGACTGCTGGTAAATTGATTGAATTCCAATAGCTTGCTTAAGAATGTGTACAAGTGTTTGCCTTTTAGATTCTAGATATTTGCTTCACTGACTCCTCAGGCTGACAATCTCGATGTCGAATAAAAGAGTTCCCAATGTTGAGCCTTCTCCATTGGCAAGACGCGTTGGATTGAAAATGGTAGTAAACAGCCTCTGCCTGTCAAAGAACTACTAAGAATAGAATATCAGCGAGAATTCACAAGTGTATGTACGAGAATTAAGGCCAGAACTCAGTCAACATATCGAATTTATACAATTCTATTGTAAGGATCCAGAATTTCTTTTTATCAATGACAATGCCTTAAAGAGTTTGAAATGCTCGAATTTGTGTGTGTTTTGACCATATGCTTTGACAGTTGTATGTTCAAAAGAGGTGTCTTTATTAGAGAGAACAATAACAGTTAAGAACAATGCCATCTACAAGAAATAGCTCAACAAAATGTTGCATGAAAGAGACGGAAAATGCAGCAGTCTTTATGCAATGCAGGTTCTAGCAATCTACAAGTAATCTATTTGCAGAAGCAATAGATTTTGCTCAATTCATTACTGTTTATCTTTTCATGCCAACACTTCAATCTGATCAAACCATTTGACCATGAATTGGAAACGCAGATACTTCCAGAGAAATATGCAGTAATATTAAGATATCCTAATCCCTCTGAAGGATAAAAGAAAAAGGCAAAAAGCAATTTGTTTCGCTGAATGCTCAACTTTTTTTGCTTCGGACTTTAACATCACAAATTTATCAAACACTGCTTCATGGTTATGCTGTGATAATGTCTTGAAAATTTCAGTGTTTTCTATGCGAATCTTGAGCCCTAGTAGTCAGACAGCTTCAAGACTTAAGGGGCAGAGTCCCCTGTTCATGACCGTACTAGAGTTTTCTGAACCTGATTTTCCCTATGGGCAGCAAACGGTGTTTGAATTATCCTTTGAAAGATAGACTTCACCGGAGCTTGAAAGTTTCTTGAGAATGTTCTTGTTCCTGGGAGAAACTCATGAAGCTTAGATATGCTATTTGGGGGAATATCAGCCGCACTATTGGAAATGGGGAAGAAACGTTTCTCTAGTGGGATAATTGGCATCCTCATGGCCCTCTTGCAAAAAATATAGAACTAGACTGATTTATGAAACTGAAAACTCTAGTGATCAAAGCTGACTGATCTGAATTTGATTCACAACAGTGTTGCAACCTAGACTGAAAGCAGTCAACAATAAGAGGCTTCTCAGACACTGAGCCACAGAAGGACTAAAGTAAGGTTTTAACATTTGGCAAACGACCTATTCCCCAAAAATTGCTTCATATAGAATAATCAGAGAAACATACATTACCATAGCACTGCAAAGAATTTAAGATAACCTAAGATCGGAGGAAAAAAAAAAGTTGAATAAGAACAACATACATTGGGAGGCACAGGTTCTTGAGTAGTATTCTGATAACCCTGTGAAGGTGGAATGATGACCCTACGAATCCCACCAACTTTCATTGATCTCACAGCTTTATCAATCCCAGCAATGACCTGCCATGCCAAGCCCAGCAAGGAGCACAAGATTAATTTTCTACTTTGGAGTTGATTGTCTGATTGGTAGTACTAACTTACTTACCTTCCCAGAACCAAGCGTGAAAACAAAAGGAACAGGTTCACCACTACCATCTTTGTGATCGTAAGTTGAATCAAACCTCCAACCTTGTTTTGCTGCCAACCTTCCATAGTAATGTATTGCAATCTGGTCTCCCTCGCTGGGGACCGGGCCAGAACCGGTGCGAAGGTCCAAGGCCTTGACACCACCAGAATTTGGGAGGTCCAAGAAGTCAGTAGTTGAAGTAGCAGAATAAGCAGGAGGACAACATGAGAAGGTTGGTATAGAAAACCCTGTGGCGAAGGAAATGATAGACAAAGAGAGAGCTCTTCTTGTTGTTGAAGGAGGCAATGGAGAAGTTGAAGAGACAGTTGGTGATGAAGGGAGGTGGTGGGGCACGTGGAGGTTTGTGAAGCAGTTCAGCCATACCAAAGTCTTATCCATTTTTGGTGGAGAAATGGTCGGATAGCACATAATTATGTTGGAAAAAAAATTTTATACTATATATTTTTTAAAATTAATGTATCAACTAATAAGTGATGAAATATAGATTCTTTAAATGTGAATTGATGATCTTTCTCTCTCGGGAAAAGAGAGGAAAAAAAACATCACATGTATAATTCTTTTCAAGCGTGTTGTTCGAATAAATATAAGTCTAACCATTAAAACTAACCTTATTTTTCTTATTCATTAAAAAAAAAATCAATTTCCAAATTTACAAAAGATGAATACAACACCGTGACAATTGAGTAAAATATTATGATATAATCCACAATATATATATATATATATATCTAACGATCAAATATTAAGAAAATCTCAATTTAGTCTCAAACTTAAGTTTCAGTTACATCGCAAATTTATAAATTTTATACTTAAATCCTAAGGCTCTGTTTATTTGATAAAAAATAGCTTTCATAGAAAAATTAATTTTCGAATAAGCTATTTTTCAAAAAATTATTTTCTAAAATAATATTTTCTGTTGTTTGGTAATTATATGAAAAAGCTGTTGAAAAATATATTCCAGAGTGTTTATTTGATACGAAAAATTAAAATATAAAAACGAGTATATGATTGTTACATCAACAAGTTTTAAAAAAACTTCAAAAAAGCATATTCACAATTTCACAATATATAATATATTTAGAAAAAATTAATAAATTTTCATAAATATTGACTCTAAAATTTTAATTCAAAAAATAAAATGTACTTTTTTAACTATCAAATCAATTCATCAAAATTACTTGAGACAAAATCAAGTCAATATCCACATTTAGTAAAAAAAAAAAAATTTCTAAGTAATCCTAGCATTGTTATTTTGGTAACTTAATTAAGAATTTTTTTTTTTTGGAAATTGAATTTATAATTTAGTCTAAAAAATAGTTTTATAAATTATTAGTTATCATTTGTAGATAATTATTCATTTGATTTCAAAAGATTAATGTTGGAATAATTGTAACTAATTATTCAATACAATTACCAACAAAATTTTACAATTGATTAAAATTATAAATTATTGATTTAGTTGCAAATGAATAGTGTTAAAAAATAATATATTTATTAATAAATTAATTAATTTTAATTTTTTTAATAAAAAATTACAGTTTTGTAATAATCATTTTCAATTATTTAAGTACAAGTTGAGGTGGTATTTGAGATAATAATTAAAAAATAGAGATAAATTATGGAAATATTTATTATAAAAATAATTTTAAGGTTTAAAAATGATTTTTAAGAATATTTAATGTATTTGTAAATTAAAAAATCAAATATTAGTAGAAATAGAGAAAAAAATTAAATAATTCATAATAATTCATAAGGAATAATTAAAAATTAATTTGATATACTTTAAATAAAATGAAGATAGAGAAAAAATTGTTAAAATATATCAAGAGAGAGGTAAGTAACGCGAGAGCGAGATAGTTCACGAGAAGGAAAATCTTTTCCTCTTTTTTAACCGGGAAAACATTTTTTTAGAAATACTCTATCATTTTTCGTTGACTCGAAAATCCTTTTCCATTTATTTTTTTTCCTCAACGCAAAACAAACACTGAAAATTTTTCCCGGACATACACAACCTAAATATTTTCTACATTTCTCAACCATGTCTTTTTATCAAATTTTTAATACTTTATTTTAGTCTAATATGAAGAAAAATTTTAACCTATATATTTATATACTAAAATGGTGTTAATTTGAAGAAAAAATGATGGAAAAGCTAAGCAATAATAGCATTTGTAATTTTATATCAAATTCTTATAAAACAAGTACATGAAGAAATCAATCACAAGTCCATATATATATATATATATATATATATATATATATATTGGGTCCAGTTTTACACTAAAGTACAGGAAGGCCTATTCATGAATTTGATTAGCAAGGTTCTTTAATTTACTAGCTAGCAAATTCCACACACCCTTTTTGTTTGTGATCAATCATGCTCCATAGCATCAACTTATTGCATGTCTTTCTGCAGGTTGGAAATCCTTATATATCAGCAATGAGTGATTTCTTTTATTTTGGGGTTATGCCACTGCCACCCCTGGAAATTCCCTCTGTTGAATAGCTCTCGATGAGACCACAAAGTCGTCTGCCTCACAGTGGCACAAACATTCAGTCATTTAAACAGAAACCATCAAGATCTTCCTGTTCTGGTTGAGGTAAAACTAAGTTATACTGACATCTATGTATCTCACTAATATACCTAGATACGATTCTTACTCTTAATTTAAACAAAACCCCATCCATGATATATATATATATATATAGTTGGCCTCGCTGGGATTACTGGGGAAGGTCCAACTCCAATCTTTCATAAGCTCAAAGTCGTCTGCCACTTTGCATTCCTATCTAGTGTGATCAAACACAACGTTGAGAACTTACTTTATAGAAATGTTTTGTAGCTATGATCATGGCTTTGTTCTAGCAGAAAAGTAGAAAACTAGCTGGAAAGCTCAAATGAAGTTGTGACAACTTACAATATAATTCTTAGCGCTGCTATAACAATTAACTTGTACCAAGTTCTGAAGTATCAATGATACTTCAACTTCAAAATATGCTTAATCAATTCTAGTTGAACATAAGAATAATGAAGAGCACTGTTTAGAAATTAAGGAAAATTCTAATTGTGCATCTTTAAATGGTTTCTGGTCGACATAATCAGGTTTAGTCTAGGGATGGCAATGCCTCCCCACCCTACCCCTAAAAAATTTCCCCATCCCCACCTCGTGTCACGAACGAGGCAGAATTTTCCATCCCATCCCCGCGGGGCAAACAGAGCATAAACAAGGCAAAAATTACCCCTTTTGTTTTTTTTGCAAACCATATCACTTGAGAAATTAATTGCTTTGCTTGCGTAACTATAAACTTCTTGCCTAAAATATAGTCAATAAATCTAAAGAGAAGTTGTGAAGACATAGCCCGGGTGGATGCAACAGAGGTTAGAAGTTCAATCCTTCCTTCTCCCCCGCCATTAAAAAAAAGAGGATGATATCAAAGAAAAAAAGCAAGCAATCACATGAGGCGGAGGCTCCCGATGGCATTTCTTCCTTGAGAGATACAAAGGTTTTGCGGATGCACAATGTCGGTGGAAGACTTGACGTTGGTGGCTAAAAAACTAATTAGGAAAAAAAATACACTAATTACCTAGTGGGTCGGTGGTCGGTAGAGTGGTTGAAGACTCAACCCCGGTGGTTGTTGGTTGGTGGAAACTCGATTGAGTGAAGCCGTGGTATGGGTGAAAGTGAAATAGGAGCCAAAGGAAAAGAGATGTAAGTACAACTAAAAACTAAACCGTCCGAATAATTGGCTAACTATATTACCTAAGTGACTAAGTCACTATACACGAGACAAAACGGGATGGGGCGGGCAAATCCCATCCTCGCCCCATCCCCGCCCAAAAAAAAAAAAAGTGGGCCGAGGCATTCCCCGATCAACATGGGGAATTAACCCATTGGCTAGAGTGGGGCGAGGCCGGTCGATTCGGGTTCAATTGCCATCTCTAATTTAGTCCAACGGTTGTGTATCCCGATCATTTTAGGTTCTAATATGATTATATAATAGGGAGGACTACCGTTGTTGTGTAGCTTAATAATTTTTTTTGACCTTCCGATGAATAAAAAAAAAGTTCCTTGTGGGGAATGTTAAATTATGAAGTTGCAAGTTTGTAGTTGGGAATACACGAGAATAGATACCATTAACCGTGACTTAATCTTAATGTTTAAAGTGTAATCTATGCTATAGAAATCTAATATTGGCAAGTTAGGTCCTATACTTTAGCTAAAAAGACATTATAAATTTTTCGTGTTGTTATCATTTCATTTGCATTCTTTGAATTAGAATAACCGAATTCATAATTGTTAAGAGAATAATATAAATCATATCTCGAGGCTTCACCTAACAGACTTAAGCTTTTAGGTAAGTTGGTCATTTAACATGATATTAGAGCCTTAATGACCAAACGATCGCTAGTTCGAATCCTACCACCTTTACTTCTTCTTCTAATTAATTAAGCATAAGGTAGTATAGGCCTATGCAAGTTTCAAGCTCGAAGGATTTTCACTTAAGGGGTGTGTTAGAGAATAATATAAATCATATCTTGCGACTTCACCTAACGAGCTTAAGCTTTTAGGTAAGTTGATCATTTGACAATGATAATCGATCGTCTTAAATTCTTTTCTTATTAATCTATGTAAATTTATTTAATTATTACCCACTATTATTACTATTTAATTATTTATTCCTTTGCATTATTTATCGTCCCATTTAATTGATGCACGTCTAATCACATTTCTCTAATGCCCTAAGAATGATAACATGCAATAGACAAGTTAAAGTAATTACATTACTATACATACACTATCATTTTACTATTGATACTTTGGTTACATATAACCGTTATTTACATACAAAATCAGTTTATTATCATCTACTACAAAATTGACTCATTAACTACTTACACCGTGTGAAAAGTACTTCATCTACTTGTTTATTGCTTTTATTATATCATAAAATAGATCAGCTAATACTAACACATACAGGACAATAGTTAGTATCGTATACAAAATAGCGTGCCGCATATCCAAACTACAAAAACCCCTACCTTATTTCTTACAAAATATGAGTAGAAATTCCAAATTTTGACACCAAAAAGATTTTAGAATCGTGATTAACATGTCTTGAGAAAGATTCTCTCCAAGACTAGAATAATTTTGCTTCACATATACACCCTCACGGAAAACATATTGGGCAAATGCATTTGTATTTAGTCATGTACGTAATTGTCCAAAACCATGAACATTTGCAATCAACCAGAGCTGCCCTAGCTCCTGTGCTTGACGAGCATGATTAGTAGCATTCAAACAGGCAGCTGCCTTTGATACAGCCAAAAGAAGACCGTAATAATTTCCAAGATCATGTATCATGTGCATAGTAGAGTCACACACCCGCCATTGATTTCGGACGTCTTTGACTGGTAAATGTATTTCTTTTCGAAAGAGAGAGAGGGAGATCTTTGGGGGCACCAAAACCCCACAATACGAATGACCAAAACCTCGGTGAGCACATGTTTTAACATTGACAGCATTGCCAATAACGAGTTGTTGGTCACGGAAAAGTTAAAAACATGCACTTTATAATTAAAAGATTGAATTTTAATCAATAAATTATTATTCAACAATTAACGAACTGATCTAGATGAATTTTTAGTAATATATAAAATTTAAATTTTAAAATAACAGTTGTGAATAAAAATTAAATTTTATCATTTTTATTTAGAATATAATTAATTCTATCTTTAATGTAAAATTAAGATATCTGAAAAAGAAAATTAATTGCATTTATTACCATTTATAATTTGATAATATATTTATATTTTTTTTCATATAATCCTAGATATTTTTAACAATATATTAAACTTGAACTTTAATATATATGCAATGCCGTTTTCTTTTAATAAAAAAAATATTGTTGATATAGAGGTAATATTTTTTTTATCAAAAAAATGTGAGATAACCCACCTATCATTTCATTTTTCTTTAAGAAAAAAAAAAAAAAAAAAAAACATTGACGGTGTCACCATAACATTCCTCTGACTGTTTTCCAATATTCTACAGTGCCCTTAAACAAGTATAAATACCCCCACGCCCGGCTCTTCATTCCTCACAACAAGTTCATCGTAGGACAAGTACAAAATAACAAATTAAAGTTGCTACCAACTTTTTGAAGCCTAAGAAATCTTGGGCACCAAGTATCTGCTAATTCTAATCACAACGGTGCTTAATCATGGTTTCTAGCTTCAAAATCCTGTCAATCCTGGCTCTGGCCCTTGCCATCTGTGTGCAAGGCACTCTAGGTAAGCAAAGATTTTTTTCTCCCCCATTTTTTATTTCTCAAGCAACGGTAGAAGCTAGATAGCAGCTCACCTTGAAGTTCTTAAATCTCTTAAACAAATTACTGGATCATAACGTTATTATTATTGCAGGAGAAATAACATGCGAACATCTTGACCAAGACACCTGTGCTTATGCAATCTCATCGTCTGGCAAGCGTTGCTTGCTCGAGAAGCGGGTAAAAAGGACCGGAGAAGAAGCATACACATGCCGCACATCCGAAATTGAGGCTGATACATTGAGGAACTGGATTGAAACAGATCAATGCATCAAAGCATGTGGACTTGACAGAAAATCACTCGGAATCTCATCGGATTCTCTTCTCGAGTCTCGCTTCTCTCAACAACTTTGCTCTCCTCAGTGCTACGACAGCTGCCCTAACGTTGTCGATCTTTACTTCAACCTCGCTGCTGCTGAAGGCAATTAACTAATCAACATGTCCATCATTCATTAAATTGATAATGAAACTCAAGTAAATTAATCGTGCATGCCACTCACAATATTTTTTCTTCTGTTTTGACAGGTGTTTTTCTCCCCAAATTATGTGAGGCGCAAGAGGGAAATGCCAGAAGAGGATTGATGGCTGATCTCAAAAGTTCTGGTTATGTTGCACCAGGACCAGGCCACCCAGTGAAGTACACATATGCTCCAGGCCCAGTTGAACCAGTTACTTACACATATGCCCCAGCCCCAGTTGATTACACAGTTGCCTCAGCAACCCCACCTTATTAATTAGCCCTTTTGTAAGGGAAAACAAAGGAAACAAAAGCAAACATATGTGTGGCCATAGGTATTAGCAAACAACAATAAGGGAATGGCACCAACAAAGATTTCAGTAGCCGGCTGGCCTGAGTATTCCAGCACTAGCATGGTGTGTGCATGCTAGTACGTGCTGTGCCAGTTACTTGAATCAATATGGTGTTACCCAGATGATATTTTAGGTAGATTTTTGTGTGCTTTATGTATTACTTTTTATATGATCGGATTAACAAATATATGAATACTTGTCGTGTGTGCCTATGAGCAATGCATAGAGATAAAAATCGAATAAATGTATTACTTTGTTTGGTTATAAATCCAATTTCCAATTAAATTTGTGAGTACGATTTGATGCAATGTGAGTACGATTTGATGCAATCACACCTTTAATTTCTCTAGAACCATCAAGAAAAAAGAACTAAAGTGTTTGACTAAACAGAATATGTAAACATGAACTGGTGAGAGCTGAAACTAACGGCAAAAAACCAAACAATGTAAGAAAGATAATCAGATTTTAGTGATGAAGACTTTGTGCTTCTCTAATTAAATTAAAAGTCAAACTCAATGGAATTTTCAGAACAAATGGTAATTAAAATATATTTTTCCTTAAAAGTCAGAAAATAAACAAGAATTGGAATAGACATGACTTGATAATTTTATTTGTGGTAGATGTTTTACGTGCACCTAAAATAGGTTTTTCACTATTCTGTGAAGGAGCCGACTTCCATGGTTATTTGAGCTGTACCACATATCTCTTGGATATAAATATGGTAATTTTTCTATACCCGTTGAGTATTCGGTTCCATCAAATTCATTTAAAATCCGATTATGATATTAGAGAGTCATAGGCATTAAGAATGATCTTTTGACCTCATAGTTTTGCTAATCTTGTTTTAAGATCATAGGTGACAGGTATGGCAGATATAGGCATTTCACGTTTGTATATCTTTTAAACATAATATTTGGATGGGCAGCTTAGCCGTGGGTGTCTCAGGATCGGATATGGTTGGGTATTAATAAAAAAAATATTAACATTTTTTTTTTATTGTTTAACTATAAAGTTAGATAATTGAGATTGAGTTTCAAGCCTTATGGTAGGTGACCCCTTCTCAATTTTATATATTATTTATTATTGATTTAACTATTCAATGTGAGATATGTTCTAAAACTCCCTCTCATTTGCAGTCTATTTTTTGCAATCTGTCAAGTGGCTTGGGCTCTAGGATCTTTGTTGGGCCATTGGGCTCTTTGAGGTTTTGATACTATATAGAGTTAGATAGTTAAGATTGAGTTTCATTTAAAAGACTTAAGTCTTATTGTAGGTGATCCCTTCTCAACTTTATATATTATTTATTATTGATTTAACTATTCAATGTGGGATATGTTCTAACACTCATTCTCACTTGCAATCCATCATTTGGAGTCTATCAAGTGGCTCGGGCTCTAGGATTTTTGCTAGGTCGTTGAGTTTCTTTGAGACTCGATACCATATAGAGTTAGATAGTTGCGATTGAATTTCATCTAAAAGACTTAAGTCTTTCGGTGAGTGGACCCTTCTCAACTTTATTTATTATTTATTATTGATTTAACTATTCAATATGTGGTATATTCTAACATTAACAAAAATAAAATTACTATGAACCGTGTATGCCTCTTTGCCCGTATCTTTATTTTGTGATGTGTATGAAGTGGTTTATTTTCTACCCTAAGATGTGCCAAAATTGTTGTTTTTAACCACTCAAGTTCCTCTCTTCTCCCCTTGCATCTGTGTGGTTGTCAAGTGGTGTGTTTTGTGCTTTTATATTGTCTCTCTATTTTTTTTTTTTAATGCCACTTAATAGCCATGTCCTGCTTTTATTGTCTTTTCTTTCTGACTGAACTTATTTTTTTGTCAATTCGTAATTTCTGACCTACAAAAATTTCTCTTTTGAGGATGAGCATGGTCCATGTATCTGGCTAATTAAGCTTTTTGGGCTTTCATCATTTCAATCATTTGATTTTATTTTTTTTTAATTTTTTTTCTAAATTATCCTTTTTAAATGCTTTTAATTTTGTTTGCAGTAGATTAAATTAAAAATGAAGAATATTTATTTTAGAAAAAAAAATTAATTATGATGAAAGCCTACAAAATTTCAATTTTGTCTTTCTTTTGGTATGGATTGGAATGAGTGGAACATAATTGAAATATCTAAGCCGGTATTTGGTCAAGATGTTTGAGACAGATCAAGATTCTGAACGAGATAAATGGTTAACACAGCATTTTAAAAGACAAATAGAAAAGCTGTAGAAGAAAGACTCTAAATCTGTAATTTTTATTCAAACCATAACTGAATAACCTGCAGTCTTAACAATGTATAAAGTAAGTTTGCCGTAGTTGGGCTAATTAAGAAAAAGAAAATAACTTGAAATACAAGGAAATCCGAATTAGGTGCAATCTAATCAGCTGATCAAATCACTCCAAAAAAACTGGAGGAGTTAGAAATGGATTTTGAAACTCGAGAAAGCCTTTGTTGGCTTCGCATGTCTCCCATGCATGTTAAAAGCTCTAAATCAGCTTTCCCCATTTTATTTTCTGCCTTTATTATGTTTAGTCATCCAACGAAACTTATGGCCCTGCTGTTTGCGATGCGCATACCAGTACTCATCTTCCAGACCTTCCTCGTAAGATTCGTCAGCAAAATCATCAAGATGATTACTAGAAGTAGAAGCAGAACCGGGAGCTGTTACCTGCTGAATTATGGACTTGACCGTAGGGGTTATTAGATGTAGAAGTAGAATTGTCAGCTGTTACTTCTACAACTTCGGACTCTTCAGGACGGGTATTAGATGCAGAAGCAGAACCCTCAGCAGTTACTTCCTGAACTATGACCTCATGAATTCGCAGACCACCCTTCCATTCGTTAGTCCACACTTCATACAGGCCAAAATAGAGCTCTGTCTCATTGTTTACAGTGTTGTCATCACTTTTAAACTCAATCTCAAACTTCTCCAAAGGAAATACTTTTTCGTCCTTGCCTAACTGTGATAGATCCACTTTTACGCACTTATACTCTCCCTCCTCTCCTATCTTTGCCATCACAGAAACAGGATCATACCAGCCAAAGGATTTCTCTTCATTCATGGATAACTTGAAGATAATTTCGTAGGTCTTCCCTTTGATTGCAGTCTTTGAACCAGTTACATCAAGCCAACACGCCTCTAGCAGCTCTGCAGAACCATCACTATATTTTGAAAAGAGCAAATAGATTCATATTGACATAAAACAAAATAGTTTCTACAAAAACTATAGGACTGTTATTCAGAATCTGCTGATGCCCAAAAGGGTAGTGATACAGTTCCATCATGATGGTTATGTGAGGAAAAAAATGCATTTTTTATTTTTTGTATTTATTATTATTTATGTGATATTAAATTATTAGAAATGTTATTTACTTTGGTTTTGGTTTGTAATAAATTCAATTAATTTTGTAATATGTTTATATATATATATATATATATATGTAAATTGCATTTGTGGTTTCGTGTTAAAATGTATATATATTTACCAATGGATATGAAAGTGGTGTGACTAAAATATAAAAAAATGAGATTCAAAACTCTGTTTAAAACATAGGGCAAATTACAATAAATTCATATGAGATATAATGAAATTACAATAATCGCCTAATAAAGATTAGAAGAGATTGACCCTTTTTTTAATCTAAAATACTCTTAATATCAAGGGGAATGGTTTAAAAATATTAATAGTATTTTGCATAGATTTTTTTTTGTAATAATTACTTAAACGTTAGAGTAGGTTGTCAATTTTTTAAACTTTTAAATAGTGCACATAATTTTATAATATTTCAAAGAGATTTTTGTAATTATCGTAAAACATAAACACCATATGTATTATGTGGATCATATCAAATTAAATAGTTTTTTTTAGCTAATTTTCATCGAAAATATATATATATATATATATATATATATATATTTCTGATAATGGAAGTATATTGTTTAACTGTATTAATTCTCATCGAGAATATTCAAACTTTTGACTGTCACTTAATATTTCTAATTTTATATTTATTAACAAAATATCTGTAATGTAACTAACAACAGATCAACCACACCAAAATTTGCAACATAACAACATAACTCTTCAAGAAAAAAACAAGTTTTACCATCAGCTCCCTATAAAACATGTCCGACAAGAAAGTTTCTAAATTGTCAATCCTTCATCGATCATTACCAACTGCTTATCTTAATTACTATATAAGTAATTGTATTCTGACCTGCAAGGGAGTGATTTTAACCTTCTTTGACTCATCAGGATTTTCAGTTCTTGGAGATGATGGTTGAGAGTTGCTAGTTCCATCATTCCTGTTAATTTCGAAAACAGTATTACAATGTATAATCTTAATTTAGCGTACAACCAATTAAAGGAAATCAAAATTTAATATTGAACTATTGAAAAATAAATTAAAGCTTAAAAAATTGTGAATTTATTTGAATCATTGATCGATCTCTTAGGTTTTATATTTATTTTAATGCAAGCAGTCTTGAAATGTCTAAAATATATGACATAATTAACTTATAATTTTTATTATTGCCCATGTTTCTCATGATATATACTATATTAAGAAATATAATGCATTTGATAAATCATCACCACCGTATATAATATATTTCAATATAAAAATATTTATGTTTATATTATATATATTAAAAGTAATTTATAAATAAAAGAGATATTCTTCAGACAAAATTCAATTCATATATTTTTATGAGACCCATAAATTATTTAGAGATTTATAAATAAAAGTATATAACCTATTTCAATTTCTTCTTTCTTAATAGAGTCATGATTTGATCTCTTAATTAGTTAATAGGTTAAGAAAAAACTTAGTAGACAAAAATAATCTAACAAAATATACCTTCTTCTTTGTTCCATAAAAGTAAAAAAGAAAAAAAAACCTTTTGATCTAATAATATTGTTAACTGATTAAGTTTATTACAATTTTAGCATACAGGCTATCGGCTAAACCTATTATTTGCACCCGTTTTCACAAATTCATTAAAAAAATAATAATAATAATTAAAAATATTTGATCTTATATCTTATTAATATTTGATAATTAATACATGCTAGATTATTAAAAATAATGATTTTAGCTTAATAATTTACTATTTGTGATTTTATTTTTGTTAACACAAAATCTTTAACATAACAAATCCACAATAAATCAATCTTTTTTCTTTTTATCCTCTTACAATAAATTTTCGCATCGTTCTTGTATGGCTTCCCTTTTGACATAAAATAAATAAATAAAAAAATAAAAATAAAAATTGCACCTTGTACCAAAAATAAACTGACTAATAAACGGTGTTGAAACTACTGCAAACAAGTATGCACATAGAAGAAACGTCAAGAAGAAAGAAAAAATAAAAAATAAAAGGCAGATCCTCTCACCCTATTTTTTTTTCCCCAGAATCTTCTCTCTTTCTTGGAGGAGAAGAAGCTGTACTGCGGCAGTTTTCTATCATCAGCGCCCTTTAAAACATGTCAAACAAGAAGATTTTCAAATTCTCATCACTAAAACATTTCATTTGCTCCCTTCATCATTACAAACTTATAATCTCAATTACCGCAGAAGTAATTATATTCTGACCTGTTAAACCGCCGTGACTCCATCTGCCCCTAGCTCCAGATTTTCATTATTTGAAGGCAATCCTTGAGATCCTGATAAAATGGGGAAAATTATTTATACATAATTGCTACTCACTTTTCATTGATAAAGAAATGCCTATTTGTAGACAAGTACGATTAGTTATTTTGTTGTTATAGCTCATTATGAAGATTCTAGAAGGCAAAGAAAGGAAAAAAAATGCCAGTAGCATTGGAGAGAGCTGTGTAACAAACTAACAGACTAATTTGCATCTATCCGAGAGAGAAGAGAGAGCATCAGTGCAGAGAGGGAAGCTTTGCTGTTTGAATGACAAAAGAGGAGTAGATGTTGGGCTGAGTTTGAGTGTCCCAAACTTTGTTTATTCCTTGCTTTGGCCGATCAGTCTTGTGTGAGCCCATGTGTAGCTTGTTTATGATTGAGCCCATGTATTTGAATTTCCTTTTGGCTCCTTCTATTTGTTACCCCTTCGCAAGATGGAGAGTAGATATTATGTACTCCCAGCTTGTGCAACAATGTCTGGAAGAGTGGCTTTGGGAGAGCTTTTGTAAAAATGTCAGCTAGCTGAGCTTGAGAAGAGACAGGGAGAAGATGGACGATGCCAGCGTGGATCTTTTCACGGACGATATGCCAGTCGATTTTGATATGTTTGGTTAGTTCGTGAAAGATTGGGTTTTCAGCAATGTGGATGGCAGATTTGTTGTCACAGTAAAGGTAGGTGGATTGGGGAAGTGGAATTCCAAGGTCTTGAAGAAGGTAGATCAACCATTGGAGCTCACAAGTAGTTGTGGCTGGAGCTCGATATTCAGCTTCAGAGGAACTTTTGGAGATGGTGGTCTATTTCTTGGACTTCCATGAGATCAGAGAGGACCCAAAAAAGACGCAAAACCCTGTGATTGATTTGCAAGAGTCGAGGCAAGTGGCCCAATCAGAATCAGAGAAAGCATGAAGTTGTGGAGAAGAGTCTGAGCGAAAGAGAATCCCTGACCAGGTGAGTTTTTCAGATATCTAAAAATACGATGAATAGCCTGCATATGGAGATTTATGGGTTTGTCTAGGTATTGGGAAAGTTGTTGAACAGAGAAACTTATGTCTGGTCTTGTGGTGGTGAGATAGAGTAGTTTGCCTATGAGGCAGCGATATGTGGTGATATCTGAAAAAAGTTCTCTAGCTGTAGTGATACAGGTATTGGGAAATAGGGGTGGATAGGGGTTTTGAATTCAGGAAGCCTGTTTCTTGAAGCAGCTCTAAGGTATAGTTTCTTTGAGAGAGGTTGATGCCAGCAGAGGATCTTGCCTATTCAAGACCAAGAAAATATTTAGCCAAACCAAGGTCTTTAATCTTGAGAGCTATATCAAGGTACTGCTTAGTAGTTGATCAAGGAAATATTGTTGCCAGCTAGTAGAACATCATCAAAATAAACCAGGAGGATGATGAAGTCAGTTGTACATCGCTTGATGAACATAGAAGGATCTGAGTTGGAGTGATAAAATCCATCTGAAATAAGGGCAGAGAGCTTGGCATAGCACTATCGACTAGCCTGCTTGAGGCCGTAGAGGCTTTTCTTTAGACGACAGACAAGGTCAGGGTGAGGCAAGGTTAAATCGGAAGGAGGCTTCATGTAGACCTCTTCATGAAGATCACCATGAAGGAAGGCATTGGTGATGCCTAGTTGGTGGAGGTACCAGTTCTGGGAAGTAGTTAAGGCTAGTAGAGTACGAATGGTGGTGATGTTTGCAACGGGAGAGAAAGTGTCTGTGTAATGAAGGCCAGCCTGCTATGTGAAACCCTTGGTAACCAGTCGACCTTTGTAGCTTTGTAAGGTGCCATTGGCATTGAATTTGAGTCTGTAAACCCACTTGCAAGCAATGGAAGCCTTCCCTGGTGGAAGAAAGGTAAGCTCCCAAGTGTCATTGTCCTTTAAAACTTTCAATTATGTCTGTATAGCACCTCTCCACTCTGGATATTGAATGGCTTGTTTTTATATGGTGGGTTCAGTGAAGGAAGTGAGGGTAGTAGAGAAGGTATGATGCGTAGGAGAAAGTTTATGATAGGAGAGGGCATGAGATAAGGTATAGGGGGATGTATGATGAATTGTGGGACAGTCATAGTCATAAAGGTAAAGAGGTGGTTTAGATGTTCTGGTGGAGCATCTAGGTTGGGGTGTTTGTGGGAAGGGAGGTGTAGGTGGTGATGGTGAGGCAGAGTTGTGAGATGGTGGGTGAGTCATGGGGATGGTGTCATAACGGGGGGTAGAGTCTATGATAGGCAGAATAGGGGTGGGAGTCAGGGTGGGAGTTTTGGAAAGGAAACTGATGCTCGTAAAAAATTAGATCTCTTGATAGGAATGTTTCCTTGAAGTCAAGATCAAAGACTTTGTAACCTTTTGTATTTGTAGAAAAACCAAGAAAAAAAAATCTTCTGGCTCTTGTGTCAAATTTGCCTCTATTTACTTGTTTTGTGAAAGCAAAACAGAGAGTGCCAAAGACTCTTAGAGAAGAAAAATCAAGGTTAGTGCCAAACATAATAGAATAAGGAGATTTTTTAGAGAAGATAGAAATAGGTATATGATTAATAAGAAACACTACATGTTGAACACAATCTGCCCAAAATTGGGTGAGAAGATTAGCTAGAAATTTCAATGCTCTAGCAACATTTAGGATGTGTTAATGCTTCCTTTCTGCTCTTCCATTTTGTTGAGGAGTTTCAATGCAACTAGTCTAATGGATAATTCCTCTTTCATGGAAATATTCTATCATAGAGAACTCTAGGCCTTGGTCACTTCTTATGCATTTGATTTTCTTGTCAAATTGCATTTCAACATAGGCACAAAAAGTCTAATATGCTGTCTGGTTTCAGATTTTGACTTCATCATGTATATCCAAGTCATTCTACTTTGATCATCCATAATTATTAGGAAGTAACGATAGCCATGTATAGAAGGAGTATGATAAGGTCCCCAATATCAACTTTTATTAAATTAAAGCAAGATTTAGCGAGAGAGTTATGGATTGGAAATGATAATCGTTTTTGTTTGGAAAAAATGACAAACATCACATTATGAAAAGGAATATTGGGATGAATACTTAATAACATTTGTAGCCTATTATTGGAGGGATGTCTTAGTCTTCGATGCCATATGCTTTGGTGTTGGGAAGTAGCATTACAAAGAGATGAAGAGTTGACTTAAAATGGTGGGGAGAGATAGTATAAGTCGTTGGTTTGTCTAGCAAAACCAATCATTTTCAAGGTATTGAGATCCTGGATAAGGCATGAATTAAGAGTAAAGGTTAGTTGACACTAGGGTAAGGAAATATGTGTTTCTTGGTTTCTTTGTAGGTACAAAAGGCTACAAACTGTATGATTTGGATTCTAGATAGATCTTCTTGTCTAGAGATGTGGTTTTCTATGAAAAACAATTTCCATTTCTTACTGAAACACATCACTCATCTATACCCACTTCTATTTTACTAACTGTTTCAAATACTACATCTTATGATATTCCACCTCACCCAAATATCTCACTATCCCCATCTCCTCAACATTCTCCACCATCATTATCTTTTCTCTCCTCATCTTCACCTCTACCATCACCACCACTGCCCTCTCAACCCCCTTACATCCATCACTCTTCTCGATAATCAAAGCCTACCTCTTACCTCATAGATTATAACTGTCCTACCCTACCTCACACATCACCCCATACCTTATCATTTATCCTCTCTTATCACCACTATCACCCCAACATCAAGCCTTTTCCACTGCTTTCACACTCCACAAAGAACCAACCTCATACACACAAGCAATCCAACATAGTGAATGACATGATGCTATACAGGCAGAATTGCAAGCACTAACAGATAATGAGACTTGGGAGATCACCTTCTTACCTCCTGGCAAATTCATAATTGACTGCAAGTGGGTTCATTGATTCAAATTTAATACAGATGAAAGTCCCCAATGTTGCAAAAGCAGAGTAGTTGCCAAAGGCTTTACATAGCAAGAGGGTCTAGACTATATTGAAACGTTCTCTCCTGTTGTGAAGCTCACCACCATTCGAGTATTACTAACTCTTACAACTGCTCAAAATTGGCACTTGCACTAACTCGACATCAATAACACCTTCTTACATGGTGACTTACATGAAGAAGTCTACATGAAACCACCACCGGGCCTTGGCCTGCCTCATCAGACATTGTATGTCACTTGAAAAAGAACATCTATGGTCTGAAGCAAGCCAGCATGTAATGGCACTCTAAGCTTACTTCTGCATTACTATCCTATGGGTTTACACAGTCACATTCATATCGCTTCATGTTCACAAAACAACAAGCTCCTAACTTCATCATTTTACTTATCTACATTGACTTGTCTTATTAGGTAGCAACAACCAAGCACTGATAGAATCCATAAAACAGAATCTAAACAATTCTTTCGAGATCAAGGATCTCAGACTTGCCAAATATTTCTTGGGCCTAGAACTCACTCGGTCCTCCTCTGGCATTAATCTCTCCCAACGCAAATACACCTTAGATTTGCTTCAAGAGACAAACTTTCTACACTCTAAACCACTTTCTACTCCCATGGCTCTAAATACAAGAATCGTAACTGAAGGTGAACTGTTCTCTGATATTTCTTCCTATCGATGTCTCATTGGGAAATTGGTATACCTTACTGCCATAAGACCCGATATAAGCTTCACAGTCCAACAATTATCGCAATTCGTAGACAAACCCATAACCCAACATATGCAAGCAACACATTACCTTCTTCGATATCTCAAGAGCTGACCAGGCCAAAGCATTCTCTTCCGTCACAATTTTGCTCTTCAACTTCGGGCATTCTCAAATTCAGATTGGGCAATGTGCCCTGATTCTCGCAAATTAGTCACTGGCTATTGTGTTTTCTTGGGTTCTTCTCTTATCTCTTGAAAATCTAAGAAACAACCAACCGTTTCCAAAAGCTCCTCAGAGGCAGACTATCATGCGCTTGCCACCACCATTTGTGA